GCCTAACCCTTTGAGCAGATGGTGGATTCAAACCACATGCCTTCCAGGTTACAGCACAGCCTCTAACCACTAGGCCACTGGAGCTCCCAGAAATGTCTATAGGGTTTCCAAAATGTAAACCTTCCATGAAGTGAACTGTCATCCTTCTCCAGCTGAGTAGTTGGTGGATAAACCACTGATTTTTTTGGAACAGTCAACATTTTTAACAACTGCATTACAATGGAGCCCTGGCGACCTAATGACAGGAAGCAATCCAGAAGGCAAAGGGTTCAAGGCCACCAGCTGCTCCACGGAAGATGGATAGACAATCTCCTCCTCTGCAATTAACTGCCTCTGAAAACTTGCCAGAGGGTCAGGTATGGGTTGGTTCTGACTCAACGGTACACAACAACAACAACAACAACCGTACTACAGGTCCATCAAATTTAATTCATTGCTGTGCAGTAGGAAATGACACATAGCTGTCTCTTTACAGGGCTTTCAGAGACTATAAACCGCAAAGGAGACTCTCCATCTTTCTCCCTCAAGCAAACGAAAGCTGTGAATAATCTCAAGCTCTTCACCATCCATTCTGATTCTGCCAATAGCTCCAGTGGTGAGAATCTTTGTCTTCTTGACATTGAGCCTCAATCCATAGTGAAGGATGTAGTCCTTGACCCTCTGCACCAAGTGCTTCAGGTCCTCCTCAGTTTCAACAAGCAGGGCTGTGCCATCTGCATAACACAGATTGTTGATAGATCTTCCACCAATCTTGAATCCACATTTCTTCTCATAGAGCCCAGCCTCCCAGATAATCTGTTCTGCATACAGGTTGAAAAGGTATGGAGACAGGACACATCCCTGGCATTCACCCTTCCCAATTTTGAACCATTCAGTGTTCCCTTGCTCTGCTCTGACGACTGCCTCCTGGTCCAAATATAGGTATGTTGTTGTTGTTGTTAAGTGCCATCAAGTCGCAGGCGACTCATAGCGACCCTATGAAGGAGAGTCCTCGACGCTTGCGTGCCTTTCATCCTGTTTTGAGGTTCATAGGGTTTCCGGAGGCAAGCTATTATGGAGTGGATGCCACTCCTCCTTCCAAGCTTGTTTTAATCGGGGAGCTCCACCCCACTCTCTGTCGCATTGGGTAGCCAACCATTAACGCATTTGACACATCAGTGTCACAGTGTTCAGCCTCACGGCAACCACAAGTGACCAGACAATGACAGACTGGCCTGAGGGCCGCGGATTAAAAGTCACTCACCTTTGTCTTGGTAGCATCGTTTTCTGTTCACTGGGCTAGCTGATCTCTCTTTCTCTCTCTGTTGGTATTATTGTTGTTAAGTGCCGTAGAGTAATGTAGAACAAAACTTCCTAAAAAAAATTTACAGTTATGTGTGACACTCTAAACGTGGGATTCAAATCACTCCTGTTATATAGCTATGCACTCTCCAGTCACAATAAACCCTCCAGCACATTTTCAGAGGCAATAAACCACAGGGGATGAGATTGCTCACCTTTCTCCCACAGAGCAGTTTGGGATTCGAACAGCATGCCTTTGGGATGACAATGCAACCAAACATATGCAGCTAAAATCCACCTTGGATTTCTTCTTGGGAGAAAAGTGGGCAATCTCCCTCCATTGATTTACAGCCTCTGGATATGCGCTGGAGGGTCGGTCAGCGATGAGTTGGTTCAGACTCAAGGGTACATACACACCAACAACAATGCTCTGGCAGTGAAGTCACTGTGGAAATCTGTAGGGACTTGTGCTGCTAACCCAAAGGGGAGCTTCTCCGGTGATTCAAATCCACTGGCATCTCTGCGGGTGAAAAATGAGCAATCTCCTCCCATGCGATTCAGCCTCTGAAAAAAAAATCTGCTGGAGGGTTCGCTGTGTTCCATCACAACTGAGTTCGAATTTGCTGCTGTTGTTATGTGCCGTTGAGTCGCCTGCGACTCATAGCGACCCTATGTACAACAGCCCTAAACTCCGCTCTGTCCTGTGCCAATCGCACT